GCTGAACCTTTCATTCCCTGTGTATCGGAACATAAAGCAAACAATATTTGCGAAACATAATTTAGTATGCTCAAATTCTCGAAATTAAAGTAAACAAGAGGCATATACATGCAATCAAAGCATAATCCAGTACAATATAAAACAAAAACTTTCGCAAAAATTTAGCCACAACATTCAATAAGAATAACTATTATCTAATAACTAGTTTTATCGCTTCCTTATATATTACTGTCCATCCTTCCCGCGTTTACATGCACCTATTTCCGCGAAAAATTACTCATATGTGAAGCCAATCTCGTACCCAGAGCAATGCCTGTGCGCGGGCTAGGATGGCATTGGCTCTGGGGAAATTGAAACCGGAACCCCTAAATTCTGGGGTTCCGGTTCTTTGTCGGCATGCATGATTGATAGACGTTAAACCAATCACAGCACAGGAAAAATTCAATTTCCCCAGAGCCAATGCCATCCTAGCCCGCGCACAGGCATTGCTCTGGGTACGAGATTGATGTGAAGCTACATATAAATACTAGGACTTTACAATCACGTGCGAGACATATTACCACCCGATAGAGTCACACATACGACAAAAGAATCCTATTTTTACTGGCTCGTATTTATGAATTCACAATTGTATGAATCGTAAGATTGTGATCAACGTGGATTTCTTAATACGCTCTCGTTTGAAATAAACGTACGTTAATGAATAAGTGACATTTTTGTTACAAGCCTGGAGATGGCTGTCAAAATTCATCGAAGTTTATGTGTATGTCAGTTAATAGAATGAAATGACATGTGAAAACATTTAGCAAGATTGAGGCAACAAATGCGATATTATTTTCTTATCCAATCTTTTTTGTTTTTGTTATCACGTTATTATTATTGACAGTGGCGGAAGTCTTGGTGGGGCGGGGGGCCACCGCCCCTTCCCCACCTTCCGAAAAAATTGACGAATTTTCGGAAATTTTGATCTAAAAGAGGGCTAAAAACAGTCTTTTCGAGTGCAAATGGGGGAGGGGGTGCGTCGGAAATTTCAAAGTTTTGTCGGAAATTTAGGAGGCTTTGCCCCCCCCCCCCACACCGGAAAAAGTGAATTTCCGCCACTGATTATTGACTGTTGTAGCAATATTTATTGGAAAGTTTGTATTTCAGCCGTTGGCACTTGTTACGGAATGGCTATGTAAAGCTATATATATAGATTGTGTTAAACGTGGTTAAAAAATAAAAATATTTTGACTTTGTTTCTGATGACATTTGCCGACTCACGACTTTTTACTCTCGATCGACTCTCGACTTTTTACTCTCGATCGACTCTCGACTTTTTACTCTCGACTCTCGACTTTTTACTCTCGACTCTCGACTTTTACTCTCGACTCTCGACTTTTACTCTCGACTCTCTACTTTTACTCTCGACTCCCGACCTTTACTCTCGACTCTCGACCCTCGACTTTTAGATACACTCTTTACTTAGCGTTCTTTTTTATAGTACTCTGATCTCAATAATCCACTGATTGTCTGCGCGCGTGTCCCGCGTTTTGCGTGAAAAAGTCATATCTCTTCTAAACATCCCCCCTCCCCGCACTGCTGAACATGCAATTGCAGTGCGATTTAACTATTTTAACTCCTTTCTAGTCCATAATATCAATATTCAAGTTTAAGGTCCCGAGTCCTTTCAAACTGAAGGCTATATCTACAAGTCAAGAAACTATACTCTTAGTGGGACAAGTTTGTGAATGGGTCTGACCAATGACTTGTTTCCCAGCTGCACCTTTGCCACTCTGCTATGTCCGTCTTTCCCTGGATATGTCGCTATGATTCGTCCCAATGGCCATTTTCCTCTCGGTAAGTCTTTATCTAAGACCAGAACAACGTCACCATCTTTCAAATCTTTTACCACGTTTGTCCACTTCGGTCGTGTGTTCAATGTTGGTAAATATTCCTTCAACCAGCGGTCCCATACTCGCAACAGAATTGCTTGTACCTTACGCCATCTTTCACGAGGGTTAGCGTCCATGTCGATCACCTCTGGTGCGAATTCTCCGCCTAGCTGACCATGAAGAAAGTGGTTGGGTGTGAGTGGAACATCATCAGAAGGATTCATCGATTGGTAGGTTATTGGTCGAGAGTTCAAGAAACCTTCGACACCTGCGCATATAGTAATCAACTCCTCGTCAGTTACCCTTCTGTGTTGTGTCTCGCTGAATCTTTTCTCGGTCTAACAGTTTCACCAGATCTTTTAATTCGTTCACCGCCCCCGACAAAGTTCGTACCGTTGTCACTGATTACTTCTTTAGGAACTCCTCTTCTACTGGTAAACGCATTGAGAAAACTGTCAGTATCAAGCCCCCAGGCTACTTCTAAATGGACGGCGCGTGTGGTTAGGCATGTAAACAAACAAAGCCACCGTTTAAGTCGTTGTTTTCCTCGTCCTTGGGCTGTCGTGAACGGTCCTGCGTAATCTAAAGCAGTCTGATCAAAAGCTCGGTAGGTGAAACGAAGACGCACTTCCGGCAGGGGTCCCATGACTTGAGAAGCCAGCTTATTCCGTCGCTTTTGGCATGTACAACACTCGTTCTCCCATCCTCTTATTTCTTCTCTAGCTGCCACAATCCAAAATCTTTGGCTGATTTGAGCAAGCACAAGATTAGTTCCTGCGACGTGGTTTGCCAATGCATGATAATATCGCACGATCAGTTTGGTAACCCAATGTCCGCGAGGCAGAAGTATCGGGCATCTTGCGTCGTAGGGTAAGCTCTCAGCGTAGTAGAGACGGCTGTTGCACCGAATAACACCTTGCTGATCCATGCGCGGAGAAAGCTTCGCCAGTTGACTCTTCGCTGGCAGAGGTTTCCCATTCGATAGAACTGCGTACTCCGCTGCAAAGGACTCTTCTTGTGCTTTACGAATGATCACGTCTTCAGCATCACGAATTTCCTCCGGTGCGAGCTCGGTTTGGCACTGCTGACGCTTCTTCTTGTTCCTCAAATTCGTCAAGACCTGCTAACTCTTGCTTGTATGCGGACTAAGTGCTTCCAGTCTGAAAACCGTTTTGGATCCAACCGCCAGATATCTGTTGGCTGTATCACTTCTTCTGCTTTCGTTGCCAGACTGTGACTACCATCAGAAACCACTGCATTTCCTTTGCTATCCTTCTTGTGGGCAGCTTTCGTTTCCGGAAGATTAACTGGAGATTTCGTCAAATCCATTTGAGGCCACTGCGAAGTATCCTGTACCAACCATACTGGACCATTCCACCAAAACGTAGACTCGGACAATTGCAACGGTGTTGCACCTCGCGTGCACAGGTCCGCAGGATTTTCAGCAGTTGGAACGTGCTGCCACCGTGCAGTATTGCTATACATTTGTATCTCTCCAATTCGGTTAGCTATAAACGGTCGAAAGTCTCCCATAGCCACGAATCCACACAGAACGTCAGCACTGTCAGAATAGAAGCTAACATCCTGCATGTTCATTTCAAACGCCCGAAGAACATTCTGCGTAAGTCGTAGGTCGAGAACTGCAGCCATTAATTCTAGTCTAGGTACCGTCATTGGTAGCAACGGTGCTACCTTACTCTTAGAGGCGATTAATCTGCTAGAGCGAGTGCCATCCTCGTATGTACATCTCAAATAGACAACAGCTCCGTATGACTTTAGTGAAGCGTCAACGAATGTCACCATTTCTCGACGAGCTACTACCTTGTTCTCACATAAACACCTTGGCACATGTATTGTTGCGACATCATGTAACTGCTCAAACCATGCTGATAACCGAATTGCGATTTCATCTTCAATTGTGTCATCCCAGTCGTTGTAAATGACGTCAATTGTTATTGCGCAATTTCGCGCGCTTTGTGAACACGTGACACTAAGTTAGGAACGCTTTTTAAAGAGGTTCGACAATCGACAGAACGACAACAATGTTTGAATTTTATTTTGTATATTTTTATTTACATTAAAGCGTTTAAATTGTACGAGTATACGACATTAATTACATGGCGCCCAACGTGCGGCTTGAGAAGAGTCTAAACGAAAGAAATATCGCAAAGATAGCTTGAGACTAATATAGTTTGTAAACCGATTCAAGGAGAATTTCGAATATGGCCGAAGCACAATCAATCGAACGAAAACGAGCAATACGCAAGGCAAATCGCGGAGTAATCACGAAGTACATCAACGAAGCAAACGATCTTTTGCACGACGAAGACAGTGATCGAGACCGTCTTATTACGATTCAAGGGCTGCTTCGCGAAAAGCTAGATTATATAAAACGACTTGATAGCGAGATTTTGGAAATTTGCGAAATAAAAGATATCGACAAGGAAATCATAGAATCCGAAGAAATTAACACTCGAGTTCTCGAAGTAAACAAGAAAATATTAAAGGCAACGAGCGAAGGACATTTAGTTACGAATCAACCGGCAATATTCGTGGAAGGTGAGCATATAAATGAACCACAACAAAGCGAACTGCAAAACGAAAGCGTTGTATCGAATAATTCGGCGCCGCAAGCAAGTACAGATCAAATTCAACACAATCAAGTAAGTCAACAACATCATGTAACGAAATCTAAACTCCCAAAGTTAGTACAAATTTCGATCGTTTTGGGACTCGTACGATAGTGCTGTACATAAAAATAGTCAGCTGTCAACAATCGATAAATTCAATTATTTGTACTCGTTGTTCGAAGGGCCAGCTCTACGTTCAATTCAAGGTTTATCCTTGACCGAAGAAAATTATCAATCCGCTGTAGACTTGTTAAACCAACGATTTGGAAATCAACAACAAGTTATTTTGGCCAATATGGACGAACTACTAAAAATTCCAGTGTGTTCAGGCGACAAACCATCACAACTTCGATTTGTTTACAACAAAATTAGCGTTAGCGTAAGAGGTCTCGAAGCGTTAGGAGTAGCTTCAAGTCAGTACGGCAGTTTGCTCATACCTATTATTATGTCAAAATTGCCCGCAGAAATACGACTTCATATAGCGAGAAATACGGTCGATGAAGTGTGGAATATAACTGATTTGCTCGAAGTATGCGTAAAGAAGTAGAAGCTAGGGAGCTTAGCGAAAATGTTCGAAGCCAAAGCGGTGAAATTGACAACCGGAAGTCAGAGACCGGAAATGAAATCGACAACTTCCGGAAATTCAACCAACGAAATAAAAGCAAATATCAAGCGTCTGCTGCCAATTTGTTTGTAAAGGACGACGAAAGTAACGAAACGAAGCCGAAGTGTGTGTATTGTGGTGAATTTCATTTTTCAGCTTCCTGTATTCATGTTAAAGACCCAAGCAAGCGAAAGGATATTTTGACCAGAGATAAACGTTGTTATTTATGTCTAAGAACAGGGCACATAACAAGGGATTGCAAGAAACAACAAAACTGTCGATGGTGCGAAGGTCGACACCATCAATCGATTTGTCAGCGTGATGTAAAGAGTAAAACACCAGAAAACACTACCAAAGGTGATTCGACTAGTGGTGCGGCTCAAGGTCAAAATCATACAACAACAACTACAACAAACTGGAATTGCTCCAAGGTTCTTTTACAAACAGCCACCACATTTGCCTATTCAAGTCAACAGTCGGCAACGGTTCCAGTTCGACTTTTAATGGATAGTGGCAGCCAGCGAACGTACATAACCAATGGTTTAAAAGAAAAGCTCGGGTTGCAACCCACTAAAACAGAAACGTTAAAGTTAAATACATTTGGAGGAGATCGATTCAGCAAGAAAAGGTGTGATGTTGTACAGTTAAGTTTGCAAGGAAGTGATGGGGATATCGAGATTTCAGCAGTATGTTTTCCCAAGATTTGTTCGCCTATTCCCACAAAGATTTGTCCTGAAAGATATCCGCATTTGAAGGGATTGAACCTGGCTGACGTTAAACTGAGCGAAAGCGATGAACTTGAACACGATAACATTGATATTCTCATTGGTTGTGATTATTATTTCGATATTGTGAATAACGAAATGGTCCGAGGAGAGGGGAGAGGTCCTGTAGCGGTTTGCAGTAAATTTGGTTGGATAGTGTCGGGTCCAACAATGCGTGAAGAAAAGAACGATGAATCCTCGATGGTCCACCTTATTATGCAGAGAAATGAGCTAGCAAGTCAATCATCGTATGTTCAAAATAAAGATGGCGAACTGATCGAAACTCTTAGAACCTTCTGGGACACAGAATCAATTGGAATCACAAATCACGATATTGGGAATCCAGAGGAATCCAAGTTTTTACGTGAAGTTAGCTTTGACGAACAAGAGGGTCGATATCAAGTTAGGTTGCCTTGGAAAACTGAAGCATTGCCACAATCAAACGGATATTCAACGTGTGTTCGAAGACTTAGACAACTTCATTCCCATTTAAAGAAAGATAAACATTTGCTAAATGACTATGACAGTGTAATCAAGCAACAACTCGAAAGTAGCATAATCGAAGCGGTTCCTGAGGAAGATGATGATAGTGATGGATCGTATTATTTACCTCATCATGGAGTACTTAGAGAAGACAAAGAGACAACCAAGTTGCGGGTTGTTTTCGATGGGTCGGCTAAACCTAACGAGGAAAGTCCTTCAATTAACGAGTGTCTGGAAAAGGGACCCAATCTTGTTCCGAATTTATTTGACACAGTTATCAAATTCCGAAGTCATCCGATAGGTATTGTTGCAGACATAGAAAAAGCGTTTCACCAAATCCAGATATCGCCTGAGGACAGACGAATGCTGCGGTTCCTTTGGTTCGACAATATCACTGAACCTGTTCCGAAAATCCGACGATTCCAGTTTTGTCGACTAGTGTTTGGGCTTACCCCTAGCCCAGCAGTTTTGGCAAGCATCATTCAACATCATTTAAGTAGACATAAAGAAAGGGAACCTGAAATGGTTTCCTTGCTCAATGATTCATTTTATGTCGATGACTTTGCTGGAGGAGCAAAAACTGATGATGATGCGGTAGAGGTTTATGAAAAGGCGCAAGCAATTATGAAAGACGGTGGTTTCACTCTCCGAAAGTGGATGTCAAATTCAAAGAAATTCCGAGAAATGGTCGAAAAAAATGAAGAGCATCAATCATACGTGAACGCGGACAAACCAAC